CAGGACCAAAAGAAGAAAAGGTCGAGCACGTTTATGAAAAACTCACGAAGCCCCAAGATTCTGTAAGAACAAGTTTGGAAACCCAGATTCCTCGAGGGACAGTTTGGCACCAGATTCTTCCTCTTTACATTTTTGGTTCCTAAGTCCAAATTTGTTTCCAGTTGTTGAAGTTTTTCCAAATGTTGTTGAAGCTGCTCAGTCTCAGGTGAGTTTGTGCAGCAGATTCAAGACACAAAAAGACTTTAGACCTGAAAACAGAACAAAAATAAAACTTTACATATAAAATCTTGATCTGTTTCTAGACGTTCTGTGAAAATTTGATCTCTTTTTTTCAACCGGAACTGACAGTTACTGACATTATTATTTTTGGGACACAGAAGTTTTTTTTAAAATGGCCCCAAGAATCTGAGGTTTAAAAGAGTCTGAGGTTTGTTGGAAAGATTCACCACAAACACAAACTAGAGTTTAGAAATGAAGAGGAAAAAACTTGTAAAATGAAATGATTTTCAAACTCTGCTGTTTGATTGTAAATGTGAAGCTGCTCGAACTGGTTTAGACCTGGTTTAGACCTGGTTTAGACCTGGTTTAGTCCTGGTTTAGTCCTGGTTTAGACCTGGTTTAGACCTGGTTTAGACCTGGTTTAGACCTGGTTTAGACCTGGTTTAGACCTGGTTTAGACCTGGTTTAGACCTGGTTTAGACCTGGTTCAGTCCTGGTTCAGTCCTGGTTCAGTCCTGGTTCAGTCCTGGTTTAGTCCTGGTTTAGTCCTGGTTCAGTCCTGGTTTAGACCTGGTTTAGACCTGGTTCAGTCTTGGTTCAGTCCTGGTTTAGACCTGGTTTAGACCTGGTTCAGACCTGGTTCAGACCTGGTTCAGTCCTGGAGTCCTGGTCCTGGTTCAGTCCTGGTTTAGACCTGGTTTAGACCTGGTTTCAGTCCTGGTTCAGTCTTGGTTCAGTCCTGGTTTAGTCCTGGTTTAGACCTGGTTCAGTCCTGGTTCAGTCCTGGTTCAGTCCTGGTTCAGTCCTGGTTTAGAGTCCTGGTTTAGACCTGGTTTAGACCTGGTTCAGTCCTGGTTCAGTCTTGGTTCAGTCTTGGTTCAGTCTTGGTTCAGTCTTGGTTTAGTCCTGGTTTAGACCTGGTTTAGACCTGGTTCAGTCCTGGTTCAGTCCTGGTCCTGGTTCAGTAGACCTGGTTCTGGTTTAGACCTGGTTTAGACCTGGTTTAGACCTGGTTTAGACCTGGTTTAGACCTGGTTTAGACCTGGTTTAGTCCTGGTTTAGTCCTGGTTTAGTCCTGGGTTTAGACCTGGTTTAGTCCTGGTTTAGACCTGGTTTAGTCCTGGTTTAGTCCTGGTTTAGTCCTGGTTTAGTCCTGGTTTAGACCTGGTTTAGACCTGGTTTAGTCCCTGGTTTAGTCCTGGTTTAGACCTGGTTTAGTCCTGGTTTAGTCCTGGTTTAGTCCTGGTTTCCTGGTTTAGTCCTGGTTTAGTTTACCTGGTTTAGACCTGGTTTAGACCTGGTTTAGTCCTGGTTCAGTCCTGGTGGTTTAGACCTGGTTTAGACCTGGTTTAGACCTGGTTTAGACCTGGTTTAGTCCTGGTTTAGACCTGGTTTAGTCCTGGTTTTAGACCTGGTTTACCTGGTTTAGACCTGGTTTAGACCTGGTTAGACCTGGTTTTTAAATGAAGTGTTTCTAATCGTCTCGTCGTGTTTGTTTGTTTTTTCTTCAGGTACAAGACGGGAAAAAACAAGTGGTTCTTCCAGAAGCTCCGATTCTAAACTCGCTCCAATAAATTTGTAGAAAGAAACTTTTGGACTGTGTGGATTTTTTTAAACTGTGAAATGTTTGTGCCGTTGTTTCCTCCTGGTTCCTGCTGGAGCCACTCGTCCAGGTCACGGGTCAGATCTGTGGAGAGGCGACCCTGCTCACGTACAAAGGGTTTTTGAGTAGACGTGGGTTTAATGCCACAGTGTGGAACATTCTGGGCAAAGCTTAAAGTCTCAGTGGAGACGGACACATGTCAAACACCACATCAGGAAAGTTACACAGTGAATCTTTAAACTAAAACCAGGTCTGGACGAGTGTTTCTCAAACTGTGGGACGAGCGCAAGTTTATATTTGATCCACTTTTCTGTTTCAACTTCACTGGAAATGAGTAGTTCCTGGTTTAGACCTTTTAGACCTGGTTTAGTCCTGGTTTAGTCCTGGTTTAGACCTGGTTTAGACCTGGTTTAGACCTGGAATAGACCTGGTTTAGTCCTGGTTTAGACCTGTTTAGACCTGGTTTAGTCCTGGTTTAGTCCTGGTTTAGTCCTGGTTTAGACCTACCTGGAATAGACCTGGTTTAGTCCTGGTTAGACCTGGTTTAGTTTAGTCCTGGTTTAGTCCTGGTTTAGACCTGGTTTAGACCTGGTTTAGACCTGGTTTAGACCTGGTTTAGATCCGGTTAGTCCTGGTTTAGTTTAGACTGGTTTAGTCCTGGTTTAGACTGGTTTACCTGGTTTAGACCTGGTTTAGACCTGGTTTAAGTCCTGGTTTTAGACCTGGTTTAGACCTGGTTTAGACCTGGTTTAGTCCTGGTTTTCCTGGTTTAGACCTGGTTTAGACCTGGTTTAGTCCTGGTTTAGACCTGGTTTAGTCCTGGTTTAGACCTGGTTTAGTCCTGGTTTAGTCCTGGTTTAGACCTGGTTTAGTCCTGGTTTAGACCTGGTTTAGACCTGGTTCAGTCCTGGTTTAGACCTGGTTTAGACCTGGTTTAGACCTGGTTTAGACCTGGTTTAGTCCTGGTTTAGACCTGGTTTAGACCTGGTTTAGACCTGGTTTAGACCTGGTTTAGACCTGGTTTAGTCCTGGTTTAGACCTGGTTTAGACCTGGTTTAGTCCTGGTTTAGTCCTGGTTTAGACCTGGTTTAGTCCTGGTTTAGACCTGGTTTAGTCCTGGTTTAGTCCTGGTTTAGACCTGGTTTAGTCCTGGTTTAGACCTGGTTTAGACCTGGTTTAGACCTGGTTTTTAAATGAAGTGTTTCTAATCGTCTCGTCGTGTTTGTTTGTTTTTTCTTCAGGTACAAGACGGGAAAAAACAAGTGGTTCTTCCAGAAGCTCCGATTCTAAACTCGCTCCAATAAATTTGTAAAAAGAAACTTTTGGACTGTGTGGATTTTTTTAAACTGTGAAATGTTTGTGCCGTTGTTTCCTCCTGGTTCCTGCTGGAGCCACTCGTCCAGGTCACGGGTCAGATCTGTGGAGAGGCGACCCTGCTCACGTACAAAGGGTTTTTGAGTAGACGTGGTTTAATGCCACAGGTGTGGAACATTCTGGGCAAAGCTTAAAGTCTCAGTGGAGACGGACACATGTCAAACACCACATCAGGAAAGTTACACAGTGAATCTTTAAACTAAAACCAGGTCTGGACGAGTGTTTCTCAAACTGTGGGACGAGCGCAAGTTTATATTTGATCCACTTTTCTGTTTCAACTTCACTGGAAATGATGTAGTCCACTTTTAGACCTGGTTTAGTCCTGGAATAGACCTGGTTTAGTCCTGGAATAGACCTGGTTTAGACCTGGTTTAGACCTGGTTTAGACCTAGAATAGACCTGGTTTAGTCCTGGAATAGACCTGGTTTAGACCTGGTTTAGACCTGGTTTAGTCCTGGAATAGACCTGGTTTAGTCCTGGTTTAGTCCTGGAATAGACCTGGTTTAGACCTGGTTTAGACCTGGTTTAGTCCTGGAATAGACCTGGTTTAGACCTGGTTTAGTCCTGGAATAGACCTGGTTTAGACCTGGTTTAGTCTGGTTTAGACCTGGTTTAGACCTGGTTTAGTCCTGGTTTAGTCCTGGTTTAGTCCTGGTTTAGACCTGGTTTAGTCCTGGTTTAGACCTGGTTTAGACCTGGTTTAGACCTGGTTTAGACCTGGTTTAGACCTGGTTTAGTCCTGGTTAGACCTGGTTTAGTCCTGGTTTTAGACCTGGTTTAGTCCTGGTTTAGACCTGGTTTAGTCCTGGTTTAGACCTGGTTTAGTCCTGGAACCTGGTTTAGACCTGGTTTAGACCTGGTTTAGTCCTGGTTTAGACCTGGTTTAGACCTGGTTTAGTCCTGGTTTGGTTAGACCTGGTTTAGTCCTGGTTTAGACCTGGTTTAGTCCTGGTTTAGACCTGGTTTAGTCCTGGTTTAGACCTGGTTTAGACCTGGTTTAGACCTGGTTTAGACCTGGTTTAGACCTGGTTTAGACCATTTCTGAGGGACCAGAGTCTGTGTCGCCCCCGTGTGGTCAGAGCCGCTCACTGCACCGGGACCCGGACAGAGTCTCAGTGTGTGTTGTGTGTGTTTTTGTGTGTTTTTGTGTGTTGTTGTGTGTGTGTGTTTTGTGTGTTTTGTGTGTGTTTGTGTGTTGTTGTGTGTTCTTTTGTGTGTGTTCTTGTGTGTGTTTGTGTGTTGTTGTGTGTTCTTTGTGTGTGTGTTTTTGTGTGTGTTTGTGTGTTTTTGTGTGTTTTGTGTGTTTTGTGTTTGTGTGTTCTTTTGTGTGTGTTTATGTGTTTTTGTGTGTGTTTGTTGTTTTTGTGTGTTCTTGTGTGTTTTGTGTGTTCTTGTGTGTGTTGTTGTGTGTTGTTGTGTGTTCTTTTGTGTGTTTTTGTGTTCTTTTGTGTGTTTGTGTGTGTTGTTGTGTGTGTGTGTGTGTGTTTTTGTGTGTTTGTGTGTGTTCTTTTGTGTGTGATTGTGTGTGTTGTTGTGTGTGTGTGTGTGTGTGTTTTTGTGTGTTGTTGTGTGTGTTTTTGTGTGTGTTTGTGTGTTCTTTTGTGTGTTTTTGTGTGTTGTTGTGTGTTTTTGTGTGTTCTTGTGTGTTGTTGTGTGTGTGTTTTTGTGTGTTTTTGTGTGTGTTCTTTTGTGTGTTTTTGTGTGTGTTATGTGTTTTTGTGTGTTTTGTGTGTTTGTGTGTGTTGTGTGTTGTTGTGTGTTCTTGTTGTGTTGTTGTGTGTTTTTGTGTGTTCTTTTGTGTGTT